TCAGTTTGAAAGAAAAATCAAAACCATTCAATCTGATATGGGAGGGGAATACAAAAGCCTTGAAAAACTAGCTATAGAATCAGGGATCCAATTAAGATATTCCTGCCCTCACACATCCGCTCAAAATGGAAGGGCCGAGAGAAAACATAGACACATCACTGAGACTGGTTTGACCCTGTTATCTCAAGCTTGTATACCTCTTTACTATTGGTGGGAAGCCTTCCTAACTGCAACCTTTCTCATAAATAGAATGCCCAGTTCCACCTTTCAACATAAGTCACCACATGAACTTTTATTTAGACATAACACTGATCATCAGATATTGAAAGTGTTTGGATGTTCATGCTACCCATGTCTTAGACCATATCAAAGGCACAAGTTTGATTTTCATTCTCAGAAATGCGTCTATCTAGGACCCAGCATATCACACAAAGGGTTCAAATGCTTAAGTCCCAGTGGAAAAATCTATGTGTCAAGACACGTCATCTTCAATGAAAAATCATTTCCCTTCAAAAATGGCTTTCTCAACAAAAAATCCCTAGACAGACATTTCCCTACAAACTTTAGCTATCTACCTTATCAAGTCAGTTCCTATAAATCACCCACAATTTCACCTGAATTGAACTCTCACAGAAGAATCTTAGAATCAATTGATACAATGCATTTTCCAGAACAACCTACACAAGAGCACCTTGCTGAAAATGATGGTGAGAGACTAACTGAAAATAGTGAAGAACCTGATAACCAACAATTACGGGAAACAGAACAAAATGATGTACTAGTTGATTTCCAGGCTGAGTCTTCAGAACATGATGGTGGGACTAGAGAAAAGGAAGTGTTGACAGAACACCCTATGATGACCAGATCCAAAGCAGGAATTTTCAAACCAAAATATTTTGCTGAAGTGATTACAAGTTCAGTTGATGATACTGAACCTGTCAGTATTCATGAAGCCTTGAAAAGTGAGAAATGGTGCCAAGCTATGAAGGAAGAGTATGAAGCCTTGATTAGAAATAATACATGGGATTTGGCTCCTGCAGATCATAAGATGAAGATAATAGGCTGTAAATGGGTATACAAGCTGAAACATGATACCAATGGAAAGATTCAGAGGCATAAAGCCAGGCTAGTGGCAAAAGGTTTCTTGCAAACACCAGGCATCGACTATTACGAAACATTCAGTCCAGTAGCCAAGGCATCAACTCTGAAGATTATTCTTACAATTGCTGTTTCAAAAGGATGGGAAATAAAGCAAATAGATATCAACAATTGCTTCCTTAATGGGAAACTAGAAGAAGTAGTGTTTATGGAACAACCTCAAGGCTTCATTGATCAAGATAACCCATCCTATGTATGCAAACTCAGCAAGGCGTTATACGGGCTTAAGCAGGCTCCCAGAGCCTGGCATGATACATTGAAGGAAACATTGCTGAACTGGGGACTTATGCAATCAAAGGCTGATAACTCTGTCTTCTATCAGGTGACTCAGGACCTTATGATTTATCTGCTAGTTTATGTGGACGATATTATAATAACTGGAAGTTGCAATACCAAAGTACAGAAGTTAATTGAAAAGTTAAACACCACTTTTGCATTAAAAGACCTTGGTACTCTGAGCAAATTCCTGGGTATTGAATTCTGCAGAGATGAGATGGGCTTACATTTATCACAAAGAAACTATGCTATTGATATTTTGAGAAAGTTTGGCTTTGAGAATTTAAAACCAAGTGTTACACCAATGGCAGCTGGTAAACTGGTTGCCAAAAATGAAGGAAAATGCTTAGAAAATCCAACTCTCTTCAGAAGTGCTGTGGGGGCTCTTCAGTATCTAACACATACCAGGCCTGATATCACTTTCGCAGTGAATAGAATAAGTCAATATCTTCAAAGTCCTACTGATGCACACTGGAAACTGCTGAAACGACTGTTTAGATATATCAAAGGAACCCTTGAAATTGGTCTGAGAATCCAGGAAACAGAGGATCTCAATATTATTGCTTATGGTGATGCAGACTGGGCATCATGTCTAGATGACAGGAAGTCCACGGTGGGATATTGCTTGTACCTTGGAGGAAACTTAATCTCATGGTGCTCGAAGAAACAGCAGGTTGTGGCAAGGTCCAGTACTGAGGCTGAATACAGGACGTTAGCTCACACCACTGCAGAAATTGTTTGGACTCAATCGTTGCTGCAAGAACTCAGCATCACCCAAACGGAGCTTCCCAGAATCTGGTGTGATAACCTAGGGGCGAGTGCTCTTGCCTCAAATCCTGTCTATCACGCACGAACTAAGCATATAGAACTTGATGTGCATTTTGTTCGTGATAGGGTGCTGGCAAAACAACTTATAATCAGCTACATTCCAACCGCCGATCAAGTTGCAGACATCCTAACTAAACCACTGTCGAACTCTAGGCATCTGTACCTACGGAGCAAGCTTGGAGCTGTTGAAACTATCTCCAGCTTGACGGGGGCTGTTAGAAAAAATGATCCCATGGACTTAAATGCACAGAATGAAAGAACGAGGACTAAAGAAGAAAACGGGCAAGATAAAGGAAAAACGTAACACACCAAATAGCGACTTCATCCTAACAGAAAATGGAGGTAAGACAGTGCTACAGTACCATCACTCCAAACGGATTCCCTCCAGCTGCTCCACCATCCATTCTTCAAGGGATCCAATATCTTCATTGTACAATTAGTTAGGGTATTCTGTTGGCCATCTCTTGCATTAATCTTTGTGTATAAATAGGAGTATAATGGGTCTCTGTAATTAACTTTTGATTATTAATAATATTCAATTGATTTCATCTTCTCCAAGTATCCGTTTTTTATCTTTGTGATCGGCATGTATAGTAGATTCTAGTAATCATTTTAACTGAAAAAAAAAATGTTACAAATTGGAAAAATCATTTTTGAAGGATTTCTTAACTCAAAACTATATTGTTGTGTCATTCTCCTTGTTAAATTCATATTGTCTTCATGCCACTATGACTTGATTTCTCTTCTATTATTCCAACTTCTAGGCCCCAATTCATAGTACAGAAAGATGGAGTTAGTTGCGAGTTGGAGATTGATGTGTGATTGCTTAGGTTTGAGTACAAAAGACTTTATACTTACAGTGTATTCCTTTATGATAGGTCCTAAAATGGGAGGACGTGGAAATAGGGGAGCCAAAGGATG